CCAGTAAATCAGCCGGCCGTCGCCAGTCAGGTAGAGCTGCCCCGCCGCCACGCCGCCAATCGGCATGCCGATCGTCTTGAGGTCGTCGCCGGAGAACCACGTCGACCCGCCCCGCTCGTAGAGCGACGAGACCCACTCCTTCGAGAGGCCCTTGTTCACCGGCACGTGATGTTCCGGATGAAGACCGTCTCGGTTAGTCGCCCCAGCCGCGTAGCCGAACGACGGCAACATCGCCATCCCCGCGCCGAGGCCAAGGCTCTGGACGAACTGGCGGCGGTCGATTCCCTGGCGGAGGGGGGGAACCGTCTCGCTCTTGCGCTCGGAAGGGGATGTCGGGGTCATCGTCATCGAAGCGATAGGGGTCGAAGAGTACGAGAGAAGAGGTTGCCGCTACGGCGTTGTTGGAGCGGCTTGCGTCGGCGTTTCGTCTAGAGGGTCGACCGAGAACCAAAACTCCTTACCTTGTCGGAACGGCGAGACCATCTCGAAGTTCTCGAACGCGATGCCGCCCGGGATCGGCGCCTGACTCGCCCAGTAGGCGAAGCGGCCGTTCACAAGCACTTCGAGCTCCGCGGCCGGATCGGCAACCCGCCAGCTCTGCCGTGCCCTCAGCCCCTGGTAACGCCAGTGACCTCTCGTCCCGGGGGCGAGCGGCGCGTCTTGCGGCGACGCCTCGTCCGGGGTCACGGAGGCCAACGCCGCGCCGTTCGCGGTGCGTTTCAGCTCTTGGAGCGGGAAACGCGCATGCGGCGTGAACCCGTCGCCGCGGTAGTCGGGCCAAAGGCCGCCCGCTTCCACGACGCGCTCGGCTAGGTGCAATTCACGCACCCGGGCGTAGTTGCCCATCGTCGCGGTCGCAATACATTTGGAGAGTGGTCGGGAGTCCTCGTGTGCGAACAACGCAACGCCAACGGCGTGCGGCTGATCTTCGCGGAAGGTCAGCCGTGCGTAGACATGCGCGCCATTCAGGAAGCGCTCAACCTGGATGAACACTTGCAGGCGTGAAACGCCATCGACTTGATTCACAACGCCCGTCGCCGGCGCCGCGTCGTCGCGAGGCGTGGCGTCGACCGGATCGTTGACGCTCCAAAACCGCTTGCCGCGCTGCTGATCAAGCTCGCTGAACTCGAGCTCGGATAGCCCCCGCGCTTCTTGTCCCTGTGGGACCGGCTCGATGGCGATGTAGTTGATGACGTGTCGATCACGATCGCCCAGGTAAGGGGCATAGACCCGCAGCAGCCCGCGCGGGCCGGGCAGGGGAGCGATTCCGACCCTCAGGCCATCGCGGTGGCCCCAAACGGGCGTCTCTTCCGCCCCGCCGCTCGGTCGCACCCAGATGGCGTCATCCGTGGCGGATGACTCTCCTGCCGCCACTGGTGAGCTCACCAACGCGACGACGGCAAACGCCGCCATGATCGCCCAACCACTCCGCTGCCGCACCGCTACCTCCGCTGTAGATATCTCGCGCGGCGTGACGGGCACGCCGACTGCCGACACGCCGCGCGAGTAAGACGCTATCGACGGCTCGACGGATCAGTCGGCCGATTCGACCTTCAAGTAGTCGAGCCCGAACATCCACCGCGGGATCGCGTTCGGGTTGGCGCCGACGATCTCAACCGTCAACTCGTTGACGCCGTCCTTGAGGTCGAACTCGCCCAGCACTTCCGGCGTGTGGCCGACCGTTTCGGCGTAGCGGTCGAGCGTGCGGGCCGGCTTGCCGTTGACGCTCAGCTTGACGATCCCGTAGTCGGGCGCCTTCGTGATGCCGGCGGTGACCTTCTGCTTGCCGGCCTTCTCGGCGTCGAACTCGAGGACGAGCTTGTCACCGGCATCGCCGTCCATCCACCAGAGCTGCTGCTCGTTACTCCAGCCGAAACCGCCGGCCTGCGGTTCGACTTTGCCCCCGCTCTTCTTGGCGACGTTGAGGTCTTCCCCCTCGATGGCCCCCTCGACGCGAAACGCCGGGGCGACGTCCGTCTTGATGCGAGCGACAGGCAGGGCCGCGTCCTTCGGCGCCGGCTCGACGTTGCTCTCGGCGCCCGGGCGGGCGTACCAGAACGTCGTCGGGGCGTAGTTCATCTTCGTGTCGGCCCAGTGCCAGATTTCCATATCGAACTTCAGCGACTTCTTGAACGGAATCGCATCGAGCGAACGGTAGCGGCTGTTGGTGGAGTAGCCGCCAACGAGGTTACCACCGCCTTCCGGTTGGGCGTGGAACGGCGCGGTGAAGAACTCGGGACGGCACCAAGCGTAGCCGTAGTAGTCCTCGGTGCCGGTGCCGAAGTGCGACGGGAACGACTCGCCATCGACATAGACCTTCTCGTCACCCTCGCCCCACCAAGCGGGGGCGCCGTTGCACAGCGTCAGCGTGTCGCCGACGTAAACGCCCTTGCCATCGGCGGTGACGTAGTTCACGTCGAAGGCGTTCTCGCCGTCCATCTCCTTGTCGCCGCGCGTCGCGACGTCGGTGTACTGTCGCCACGTCGAATGGAAGTACATCGAGCGGTCGTCCCAGTCCCAGTCGCTGTGTTTGACTTCCGCCGACGCGACCGTGACCGGTTGGTCGCCGACGTTGTGCAGCGTGATGACGGCCTCCTTCTCGAAGGGCATCACCCACTTGCAATAAATTGTGCCGTCCTTCTCGGCGCCCGTGTACCAGGTCTTGAACTCACGCACTTTGTAGCCCATGCCGCTGAAGTCGCCGACCGGCGCCCAGACGGTCGGTTCGCCGTCGAACTTGATCTCAAGAACGGTCGAACGCAGGGCCTGCTCGACGTCCTCGGCGTCGAGCTTCAGACGCATCGAGCGGATGGCGCCGGGTCCGCTGATCTTCAGCGATTCGAGCGAGCTGTTCGGGGCGATCTCGCCATCGGCCTCGACGACTTCCAGGCCAGTCTCCTCGATCTTCGCGGCCTCAAGCTTCCTGTTGGCCTCATCGACCTTGCCCTTGGCCAACTCGAGGCGATCCATCGTGAACGATTCCACCTCGACGTCCGTGTCGTAGGTGCGGTAGTTGATCTGGTAGTACAGGGCCTCGCCCTTGCGGGCGCCGCGATCGAC